TATATAATGATTAATTAATAAGCCAAAGAATTAAGTAGTCTTTAGTTATAATTTTAACTTAAGAATTTTTCTTTTGTGTAAAAAATACCATAACATTTTTTTAGTTTTTGAGGAGCAACAATCTTCATTAATTAACAAGTAAAAGAAATAATTTTATTTATATCTGCCTTTTGGATTATATTTATCATGGATGAGATAGTAAGCAGTATTAAATATTACAAAAACTGAAATACCTCTGCCCTACAAATTTTCATAAGAAATTTTACTTTGATGGTTATAAACTTTTATTAATTTGACAAATGTCACGCGTTGGGAGTATGTTAACATAAAATATTATTTCAAAATAATTATTATCATTATATCATATATAGAGGAAAATAAGTTATTGATTTATAAAATTTCATAAACATGTAGAATGATTTTTAACATTCGTTTTCTATTAGTTTATTATTTCATAGACGATAAAGTGATTCTTTCGTCTGTAGAACTTAGTTAGACTTTTCTCCCAAGAGTATATTCAAAAGCTCAACTCCTAAGCTTTATATCACACGATCACACTCATCAAACATGTTAAACTAAGCTTTACAATCTGTCACCTTGTACCTTGTATCTTATCACAGGAAAATAAACTTAAACAATCTATAACTCAAGAATTACTCAACATATTACTTTTATTTGATGTAGTTTTATATATAATTAATGCTCTACTGACAAACTATTATTTCTATAGGAATATGGTTATAAACTAATTTATCAACCTGTAAATTTTTATTCAATAAAACCTATATAATCACAATGGTCTAGGATATAGTTTTAAATCATTTGATGTCGTTTCGTCGAATCAATTCAGTGTTGATTATATTATTGCTGGCTTCCTAGCTGGAGATTTATATCAGGTCTGTATTATTCAATGAAATATTAAATTTATATAACAAAATTTTTATTTATTCTAACCGTTATTATAAGAATTTTACATAGATATTCAGAAAAAAATCATATATACGTAAAATTTATAATTAATTCTTTAATTTCAACTTAGTTTCATTCAAATATTTATTACCAAAAACTTTTTATATAAAACCAGTTGCGTTTACATACAGACTTCATTTTGTATTTTTAATACAGGTAATTAAAATTAAAAATGGTATAAAAGAGTTTAAAGATAATGCACCATAAACCACAATTATAAATTTAATAATGATATCTTTCTAAAACTATTATTCGTACAGATTTATCTTTGGATACGATTAGAAGTTTAATATTTGTTTTGAGATAGGTTCAACACAAAATGGGTCACTAGTTCGCAACTAGACCGTAGGTATTTAATTAGAATAATAAAGTTACGTCGAACTATTTTGTTACTCTGGGAAATAAATTTCTACCTATTTTGTTTATATTCATCTCAATATTAATATAAAAATAAAGATGGTTAAAATACTGTTTTTGGCTCTCATAAAATTAAGTGACAATAAAAAAATAAATGAACCGTTTAAGAGCCCTATTCTCATAAACCAGGTGTTAATCAAACCTCCCATGCTACTCCTCAACGTAAATTGTCGCACGTAATATTTCACTGTAATGAAATAAGAAAGGAACGTTTTGTAAACGGAAAAGTTTTATCACCACAATTATTTTGATTATTATTTTATGTAAGAAAATCGCAATAATATACCTCAAGATATATTTACTTAATGAGTAATAAAATCAATAACTACAAAAGTTTTATGTTTCAAGTAACTGAAGCAAGTTTTATGTGTCAATCATTCAGACATACAAAAATTATGCTCTTAATGATATCTACTATCTCTAAAATAAAAAATAAGCAATTTGAGAGATAAATATTAATTACGAATAGGATATGTGACTTCACTCTTATGACTTTTAATAAAATATTCCAATATTTTTAATTCATAAAATTTTACTATCTACTATTTTGTGCTGGTAGATTGTGCGTTGTTAGTTTGGGCAGAAATGTTGACTATAAAATGTAAAAAGAATATTGTTTGTTCATGAAGAGAAAAAATATACCTAATGTATCATTGAAAGTAGCTTGTTACTCTCACAAAATTTCAAGGCATGCTTGTATTTTGAAATAACAAAGGTAAAAGCCACCGTTTTTTAAATAAAATTGTAAAATTCTAATATAAACATACGACAAACAAAATAATAAATAACTAGCCATTCGAAAAGATGAACAATAGTAAAAATCATGCTAGCTACAAACTGCCAAAGTCAACGACGTCGGCTCCAAATCAATTAACGAAAACCAATTTGTCAGAACTTGCCCGATGCAATTATACCATTCAATAGTTCCATCCACAACCTTTTGAAATATTCACAAGATCTTCAGTCATAAAAATTGTTATCAATTTTGGAAAAATAAAATAAAAGTTTCATTTAAAAAGTACATTTTTAATCTATTATTGAAAAGAAAAAAATTTTTCATCTTTTTTTCGTTGATAATTTTATTATAGACGTATTGTAAATATATTTCGTCCAAATACAAAAAAGAAAGCTTATGTTCATAGCACGGAAAAGGCGAAAGGACAAGTCACGACAATTTTCTCTTTTTGCACATGAATTATACCCTTAAGGGTTAATATATCCGGAACATCTTGTATCAGTCAAAAAGAAATATGACATTTTTATGTGTAACTTCCCGAGTATTATAAAAAATATATACTATTAAATACCTTATGCTTTTAATATTATTTTTACATTTATAATTTCTTACCTTCTTGTAATTCTACAAAATAATAGAAGTTTTGTATATACCTCTTTCTTAAATTATAAAGACATAAAATATATTGCTCATGAAAATCTTTATATTTGATTTTGAATACATAGTTTTCTTTTTTCAGTATTTTATAAAAATAATAACAATTTCTTTTTTTGTAGTATTTTATAAAAATAATAACAATATACTAATAATAAAATTTATGAATTAGAAACGCAATATTGTTCTAAAAAAATATGTTAAACATCAAAAAACTTAAAAAAAAATGACAAATATATATTATATATATGTACAATGCAATTAATAGTTCTCTATAATAAAACGAGAGTGTGAAGATTTTAAAACTAAAGGTTAAAAGTAGTTCAACAAATTTAACTATTTTGTTACCGTCGTAATATTTAGTGCGATTCATTATTTATTTCTAGAACCTAAGAATTTAATAGACTTTATGTGTTACACCTGTCAGTGGTGGCCTAGTGGTTAAAGGGCCCGCCTCTCATGCACGAGGGCACGGGTTCGATCTTGGCAAGTACCAATGTGATTTTCCCGAATCATTTGTACTTTCTAAGAATATTTAGATACCACTGACAGACGGTGAAGGAAAACATCGTGAGGAAACCTGGACTTATTAATTTGAAATCACCAACCCGCCTTGAGCAGGCGTGGTGATTAATGCTCAAATCTTCTCCATGTGAGAGGCCTTTGTTCAGCAGTGGGCTATGACAAGATGATGACGATGTGTTACATTAATAATTTATAATTCTGCAAGTAAACTTTTAAATACAACTTTGTTTTTTAGATTTAACTGATTTCCTTATTTTACAACGTGTTTTGTCTGATTTGCAGTAACTGAAATGAAATGTAAATTGTCTCTTATGGAACACATTTTTATTATGAAATAAATAGCGTGTTTTAAGTAAGGGAAGGTAAGTAATATAATTAATATCGTTTTCTAAAACACTGACTGACGATGACGTAATTTGAATTTTGTTTAAATAGTTTTGTAACACAAATTGTATTCACTCAAAATAAATTACCGGTGTATTTTTGAATTCAATTTGTAATTTCTTATTAGTTTTAAAGACACTTTTGAATAAGTAAAATTGCTTAAGTAAGTTAATTTTAAAAATATGTGCATGAAGTTGTTTTCTTTTTTAGAGTTTGTAGGATTTTAAATGCATTTTGATTCGATTTTTAATAATAAGTGTTATTTGAGATTGACTAGTAATTTTGATTTAATTAGAAGAAAATTAAAAGATTTTTAAAGTCTTAAGGAACTGAGTATTTCACTAAAATAATATTTTGAGACCTATGGTCATAATGATCTTTGGCTGCAGTTTAAATTTATCATAAACGAAATTGTATCCAATCATTAATATTTATTTTTATTTCGATAAAATTTTTATTTCGATAAAAATAACTTAAAATTATTAAAGCCATACTTAATATGAATAATTACCAATGTTTATTATTAAAACAATATTAACACAATTCTATGATTGAATAGTGTTTAGTTTGATACTTCTTAAAAAGTTTTTAGTTTGTTTATATACAAAGCCTCGTCATTGTCAAAGTTACTGAGACTAGTTTGATCTCAAAATGTAACATACATACATAATAGGTACATATGTATGCCGAGGACACCTTGATGAGTTTTGGTTTGAGAGGTTTTGTTTTGAGTAAAGCTAGTGTGACGTATTTCGCTTTAAATAGACAAGCAATTTTTGTGTCTAGAGACAATACTTGTTACGAAAAAACTATTTTATGACATAGTATTATAAAATATATTATTATAGACTATATTTATATCATTTTAAGACATTAATCTTTTGAGATATCAATAAAACAAATTGTCAGTTAAATTTTTATTCCACCACAGACTTTGTCAGCATAGTTTTGTAAATACATATATAATTATTAGGAATTTTCTTTAATCGAACTTTCTCCCACGTTTTTAGCTATAAGTTATATCAACAAAGACATATTTCTTTTTGCTTAAACCAACAATAATACGCTAATATCACAACTTATGCTATAATATTATTAATTAATATATCATAAATGATCCTTATTTTATTCATACAAATAAGAATATAATTTGTATAAAATATATAACAACAAAAAATAAAACATTTGACAAACATATCTGTACAAATAAATATTACCTAAGGTATATAGATCTTTTCTTTAATCATTATAAAAGTATTTTCATGCATAAAATTAAAGACTTCAAACTGAGTCCAATTTTAGATTTTCGGGAATGTTAGTTCAGAGCTAGTGCTACCACTTCACAAAATGAAGATTCTTCTCCAATACGTTCAGTGTAGGTTTTTCCATTGAAAACAAATTTCGAAAGAGGCAGTGTCAAATGCACTGTAAATTTCAGAGCCTTTGCAATTCTTCGGGTGCCTTCTGCAGTCATAATGGCTTGGCAAATCTTCGGATATGTACCATAAGGTTTGTGAGGCATTAAATGAGCATATTTTGGTCCGAGATCGTTAACACATAATTGTGTCATATTAAGGTCTTTATACTTTCTTGCAATGTTTATAGAGGATTGTATGAGAAGTTTTGCTAATCCACGACGTCTGTGTGTACTTTTGGTACCGAAGAACATTAGCTCAAAACTACAATCAACATTGTACCTGAAAATTATAATTAAGAATTATAAAAGACATTGTGAAATATGGATTGTTTATTTTTAATTTATCTGTCCATATTACTTAGGTAGGTAGCAGATTTGTGGTAATGGATTTAGCCTACATTCATTAAACTGACATGTTTTCTGTGTTTTAGTATTGTTAGGAAGTAAACTTCATTCAATTAAAGTCAGATGTAAGTAATGTATATATTAAAAGGCCCGCCTCTCAAGCACGTCGGCGCGGGCTCGTTCTTGGCCCGGGCAAGTACCAATGTGATTTTTCCGAGTCATATGGACTTTCTAAGAGTATTTTGACATTACTGATTAATGTTGACTCCCAAAAAAGGGTTGATGTCAGGCAGGCGGCCGGTCGTAAAAACAAATAGCCAAAACTATTCACAAAATGTAAGATAGACCCTGGCTATAGCTGGGAAATTGCCAGGTAGAAGAAGATGTAGGTATGTAAGTTGAGCATGTCAGAATGTGTCTAAATTTTTTTAGTTATACGATAAAAATCTCCAATTACTATAAATTTCATAAAATGTTTTCTTTTAATAACAAGTAAACACATGTTCTGTGCAATCACCAATTTTATTAAATTTAATGGTAATAATTTCATCAGATAATTCATTAACTAGAATAATTTTAAAAGCTTGTAAAGATATTCTGTCCAATAGATTCTGTCCAATAGATTCACTAAACGAGTAGAGAAACTTAAAGTATGTTATAGTGAATTTATCCTTACTTTTCGAAGAAATTGCATCTTCCATCAACATCAACCATAAATTCTACAAGGGAACGAGATGAAGTCTGACTGCAGCGCTCTTCAGCAAAAATTGCAAAAAAAGGTTTTTCTGAAGCATCCGTTGATTGAACCTTTATGTAATGTAATTTTCACATATCAGAATGTTACATATTTTTGACACAAATAATGAAAATTGTCTTAAAAAAGCAATAACGAATTGTTTTATTTGAAATCAGTAATGATAAATAAGGATAAAATTTATTTAAGTACCTGTATTTTATTAAATAAAACTGCTGCAACCTCCCCAGTTTCAACTACAACTGCCACTACGGAGACACAATCAAGGGCGGCGTCTGCGCACAATTCCAGTAATTCTTCGATTGCTTTAAGATTTTTGTTAACCTCACATGCTATTGATACAACCTCTTCTTTAAAAAAATCTTCTTTAATTATCTGGGATAAAAGCACACACAAGAAAAGTATAGTATTTTATAAAACAATATTTCTTTTTGATATTTCTTTAGTAAATTTAATTTAAAAGGCTGTTTTTTATTCGTCTCTTCCTCTCATTTGTATACAATATTTGGTAAAAAATATGGAAAAGTTTTCATGTTTAATAGAATGTTATTTTAGTATTATACAATTCATAAGAAATATATTTTAAGCTTTGAAAATGTTACATCATGGTTACTACGTACTATCATAACAATCGTTAGTATAATTGGGTTTAATAAACATATTCATGCCAAAGTATTTTTTCCTAATACTAGAAATATTTGTATTGATTTCTTTTTCATTTATCCACACCCAGACACTAACCCACACACACACACACACACACACACACACACACACACACACACAAACACACAAACTCTCTCACAACTCCTACACTTCACTGATTGATCAGTTTTTCTTTTTTGCCTTATATAATTAATTGTGTGATTATAATTTTTGTATTATTATAAAATTAGTAAAATTTTACTGAAATTTGTCTGCTACAAATGAATCGATGTCCACGATACAGGCCTAGCCTAGTGTGGACGTCAACGTTCACTATAAATTGAATTGTTAAGTGATTTGTTAAAATAAATAAATTTGTTATTACTTAAGCATTTTGGGGATGTTGATAATTGCATAATTTCATGGACTTTAAAACTCACCATATAGATTGATGAATACATAATTACAGACATTCGTATCTCATGAACAAAATATGTTACAAAAACCTACAACATTTTTAAATGCATAAAATACATATTGAAAACATTAAGCCTTTAAACAATAATATTAAGCATTTATATAAAAGGTAGTCTGTGTAATATGTAAAATTAAAATAAATACTCTTTAAAAAAGTGTCACTGTGATTTAGTTTTATAAATCGCATCAAATTTAAAAAAAAAAGTTAAATTCTACTAACTTAATATCTTTGATATATTACTTACTTTTAAGGCACCCAAAAATGTTCCAGGAGACAGAGATTCAATTCTGTATTTTCCTAAAAAGCATGAAATGTTCTTAAATTTTTGTGAATGTAATAAAAAATATCTGGTTTTAATTCAATATTCATTTCATAATTAAATAGAGGTATAGTGCAAAAAAGTGCAATTGTTCAGTAAATAAATCTTTTCCCAATAATCTCTTACATATTCGTAGTTTATATGACCGTTATATATGAATGTTTTATGAAACAAAAATACCATTGTATTAATAAATAGGAACCAAATATATATTGAAGAATATATTTGTATCTATTCACACTCTTGATTATGGAAGAATTAATTTTTGATGACGAGTTTGATGATAATTATATAACAAAAACTCAGTATTTTCTTATTTCAAATACTTAATTTTTTTAGTATAATAATATGTATATCCATACCATCGCTTGTCATAAATGGTTCCATGTTTTGATGCTGAATTCGCTTGTGCTACAGACTTTATTGATATTTAATATTTACACTTCACGATCGTTCGCTTAGCTGTTTAGAAATAAAATGTTAACAGGAGAATTCAGACAATGACCGTCTAGCACACTTTTATGCTAACAAGGTGATACGCGGGGAGGATGGGTAAGAATAGAAATAGCAATTGCTTCCGTTATTTGCGTGAATACCTCCAACAATATGCATATTTGTTGATTATATCTTTAATTTAGACAACACGACTAGGGTTATGTATTACCGAAAATATTTCAAGAAATTTATTTTCAACATATTTATCATTGCTAAACTCAGTAATATCGAAATCATGATTAAAACTCATTTTGGGTGCATCAACTTTTTCATACTGTTAGTTATACAGGGTGACTGGTGAATTACTATCAATATTTAAGGAGAATACTCGGTACATGATTCTCATTCGAATTATGTAAAAAAAATAGGTACTAAATTTTTGACCAAATTTCCGTATAAATAAATAAAGTGAGGACACGTTCCAAGTGTTCCAAGTGTGGACGCGTGCGGCGGCGTGCTGATACAACACCACGCCTCCGGACGCGTGTGTGTGTATATATAACATAACTTTTGGTTAACTTTACTTAGAAGTTTATTAATATTTATGTTATATTAATTTTTATTTTGTCATATATGATCGTCAAATATCACGTCCTCAAGTATCGATAGTAATTCACCAGTCACCCTGTATATGATAGTATATTTCCCGTGTAAAACTGAAATCCAATTTTATACGTAAATATATTTTTTTACGTAACTTTTATTATTTCTATATAATTTTCAATTTTTTTCTAAATATACTATAAAAGCCAATTGCAGATATGTATGTATATGATCCTTATTGAATAAATGCACAATATCGCTGATATGGAGCATCGTTAAAGTGATAATAGGCGAAGCATCAAATAACCATCAATTCAAACTCAAGTTATAGAGTAGAATTGGTAAATACATTGTTATTTCGTCTTTTTTTCCACTTCTTATAAAAGTGCCCTTTATTAAAAAGACAAAGTTTGAAGAATATATAATATACAAATTAAAAAATCCTCTTATTTAATATTTATGCTAATATTCCTGATATTTTTCTAATTGATATATTAAAACTTATGTACAAATATGTTTTCACAATAACCTATAAAGAAAATTTGGCAGATCGACGTATAAATTATGTATGTTAAGCTCATGAAACTGGGTATTACATTTAATTTAATTAATTTTTAAATAAAGAAAAAGTATTCACATTAAAAAAAAACATTACTTCATTTTGCACTTCTGCCAATAAACTTTGACCGTCTTAAATATGATATAATAATTCTAAGTGACGCGTTAATACATGCAATTGAAATTGCATATTTATATCCTTATCAGAGTTTTTGACTACACTTGAAATAAATTCCGTATCTTAAACTAAAGATACCAGTTTACTGTGATCTACAGATATTGTTACTTATCTCAGATGTATCTGTATCTTTTCAGATCTAGTTGTTGTTACACTGCAGTTTTTATATGTATAAATAGTCCTTTATATACGTGAAGCAAGCAAACGATTTGTTATGAAACGATGTTCCAACGTAGAAATAAAGGGTTATCAAAACTTCTATGGGGTATTATTGATTTATTTATTTATTCGATCGTTCGTTTGTTCGTTCCATCTATCCTTCAATTTATCTATAGGGACACAAGTAATCTTTATACAACACCGAGACTTAATTTCGACAAAAAAAACAATTTTCTCAAGACTGTACACTTGATATACAAAAATTGGTATTTACTTCATCTTTTTCATTACATCCACTTTAATGTCTTATTTTAAATTGAGATTTATATTATTTTTATATAAGTACATATATAACATAACTCTATTAATTAAATTAACAATGCAATAGAAATATGTATGTGAACAAGTTGATTTCATTATTTTTTTCTCTCATATTATTGCAAATTAACTTTAATAGTCTTCATTTCTATTAAAAGAAATATGTTTTTAAGTATAACTACATACAAATCTAAATAATCATAAAATTATTAAAATATTTCAGATATTAAGTTAAATTTCAGTTTCTTTTGCTTCGTCAGTCATTCACGTGTTTTCTTTTGGTTCAAATTACAATTCTTTATTTAAGCATCTGTAAAAGTATTCAATATTTACAAAGCATAAATAGATATTTCAGATTTTATATAAAATTCTTATAAAAATTTAGGATACAGATACTGCTGAATTTTCTTTTGAAGTATGCTAAGAGTTAAATTACTTTTAGGAGGAATTTTACAATTTAATATTTAGGCATAATCTTTATAATTATACTGCAATTTGTTTGTCAATTATATTCGGTATAATATATTGATATATATAATTCTATTAAGCCAGTTTTTTGTAAGGGTAAGAAAAGGCAAATAATTTTAAACTCTAAAAATTACCTAGTTAATTCCCATAACTTAAGTAACTCAGGTATATTCATAATTTAATAAGATTACCAGCTTATAAATAATAATAAGTGAACAGATTTTTTTTAATAGTGGTTATTTTAACTCTTTGACGCACAAGGTCATGCTATGTAATAATATAATGAAAAGTTGGTAATCGTTTAACATTTGAGTATGTAATGAGTTTTACATCTTTGTTTTTGAAGAATTACTTTGACTACGTCATTGGCAATAGGCATTGTCTGTTAATTATTTAAAAATTATTTTATCATGAATACTTTATGATGTTATGACGTAAGAATTTCAAATAATTACCAACTTTGCAGTAATTGTAATATTTGAATAAAACGTTGTAAAATTTAAAATTATAATAATATTTAAAATATGTTAAATTAATAATATATAAGTCATTTGACAGTACAAATTTAAATGATTTTTCAGATGTGCATCGTTATTAATTATATTTTTATATCTATACTCGATGCTCAATCTAAGACTTATAAAATCGATCATAGTTTGTATGTCAATTTAGGAGACATGATCCAAAAGTGATGATAATAAACAAAATAATTTACACTGGTTGAAGTTACAAAATTAATAAATAATTGTATATAGTCTCGTAACTTAATACATTTGGTTAAAGTTTTTTCTAAACATAGGCTTTCATTAGAAAAGACATCTTCATCTTGAATATCCTAAAATGACTTGACAGGCTCTGCCATTACTTCGCTACCACCTACAAATTTCTTACATAAAATTTTGTTTCATAAGGCGTTAGAAACTCTATGATAAGTTTATTTTAATAAAGTGAATATTTTGATATTGTCAAAGCTTTTGTTCAACTCACTGTGTTGAAATCATGATTGAGTTTGTCTGATGGAATAAATGATTTTTTATAGAACTATATATTTTAGAATAACAAAAAATAAATGAAATTGATATTTTTCGGATGTAACACGCGATTTCTATTTTCATTAAAAACTACATACTTCCGACGTTTCGGTTACTTAACAGCAACCGTGATCACGGGCAGACGAGATGTGAGTGTCTGTCAGTCGGTCTTATTTGTTTTTT